ATGTCCAAGATCATACAAGAATCACAAATATGTTCATTATTAAGAAACCATATCACACCTGAATTATACCGCATTTCCAGAACCATTCGACCATATCATGAATTGAAACCATAAACAACACACAAAAGAACAATTTTTATTGTGAAACAACTCCTTGATTTCCAGTCTGAGGCTGATCGTGGAAGTCACAAAAAATAATCGGTTTCGAGCTTCAACTGCATCCATTGAGCCCAGCCCTTTTGGCTGAGCCTTTTCAGGTGTAGCAGTGCATTCCTCCACTGCCTTCGTGGCAGACACCATGAACCATCGCATCATCATGGTCCGGAGCCTGACAAGCGCGGACCGATGAGAGCCTGGGAGGGTGGACTCCATGCGGACGGCACTCGGAACCGGACTTTCAGACCTCGGACCCGGCCCAGCGGCTTCAGACCCTCCTTCATACGCCGCCCGTGTGGGGGAACCCTTTTTGGTGTGAATCAGTGATCAGTTAGTCAGTTAGATGCCACTAGCCCCCCTAGACCCACGCGACAAGTCCCCTCATCACATGTCATCACGAGGGTGGCTCACGACGGTGGTCAAATTCTACGTCTCCCAAATCCCTCCTTGTTGGTGTTCAGGGTCCGGCGGATTTTTGTTGCCTCTTGGTCCGGGAGTTGATAGACCTCCCAGGAACGAAGATTCCTTTTGTGTAGGAACACTTGGGAGACAACAAAACAAGGTCACATTTGTATACTAGAGTGAATGGGGCGTTTATTCGTGCCGGTGAGATCCAGATGTTGAGTGTTGAATTCTGGAAGTTGCCGTAGCGGCCCTAAGAATCAGTGGAGTGAATGAAGTAGAGCGGAGTGTCTCAAGTTCTACAACTTCGGTTTCTGTTGACCTACGCAGATCGATACAATCGATTTACAGAACCTTGCTGTTGCATACAGCTACGCTGCTGAAAACTCCCAGCTACGCTGTCTTTTGGCATGTTCATTTGAGGGATCTGCCGGTGTTGACCTATTTTGACTTGTCCCCCCTAGTAGCGTTTGGGGTGATGCACAGCGCCATTTGTCCGCCACACCCAAGTGTTGATGTGATGCTCGATATATCGACCACATCCGATGTCACTTCATTGTACATCTCTAACCCTTCGGAGGAGACGTGTTGGAAGGTGCTGCTTGATATGGCCTGAAACATGGGCCAAAAACCTTTGACAAAGCAGACACAATACAAACACTGCAGTTCCCGTGCTTTGCAGTTGGACGTAGGTTTCAAGGTTTCAGAAGCTAGAGCTGCCCAACCTGGCTGAGTTGACCATCCATCTATGGATTTGTTGCACTCATTTGCCAATGAAATGAAGCACTTTGGATGGATGGAGCATGACCGGAACAGGGATGGTTTTTTTCCAAAAAACGGTTGGCGCGGTTTGTCTTTGTCACCAAGAAAACCCCGCTCACCTTTGCTCACCTCCACCTGCTTTGCCTTGCTGACCGGCTGCTTTACCAAGAGTGTTCCTGAGGTGCCGATCCTGGAGTATGAGCCTTTGGGTTGCTTCAAGGCGGGTGGAGTCGAGTGGAGCTTGAAGACCAGACGGTGGAGCTTCAGCACCCAAAAAGGAGTGGAGCACCTCAGTGGAGCAGTTTTGGGGGATTCAGAGATTTCCACTGCATGGGGCAAAATTTGGGAGTCGCCACTGTGAACCGATTTGTCTACTTTGTTCCTGAATATGAGTGTTCACTAACTCACTGGCACACACCGACAAGAACGCAGCTCACCACGGAGAAAAACCACGTCCTGCGTCGGAAGCTGCTCACATCGAACTGGTTTCGAATTCACCTCGGAGTGAAACAACCCGAAAGCCGTGAAGAAAGGCCTCGCGGCCTATTCAGCGAGCTTTCGGTCTGATGCTCATCTGTCTGCTTCATCTGGACGGTTTTGACTCTATCCGACCAGGTGCAGAAACCAGGAGTGTTTCGTTCCATCCGAACCCCGGCCCTGTTGTGTCATAGGCGGCCATTCACAAGCATTTTTCTTGCAAGAGCGCACAAGCATGTGTTTTTTTGTTTCCAGATACTGTACACATTTCTGCCGCACACCCAGTCGCAGTCTTGCCTGTGTTGATGACCATATTCCATGGGGATTGGCCCTCGGTTTTGATGACCATAGTCAGAGCCGTAGAGCACATAAGCAGCACGGTGCACCGTTGAGAATGAGAGACCCCTCCAAACATCTTCCAACACTGCGTTGCTGGCGTGCATCTTGTCATAATGCAGCTACAGACACTCTTGTCATGCCCCGTGAGATGGGTCAGAACAGCGGTGAAAGAACAGCCATCATGAAGCTAGAAATCATGCACCGAGCCAGGGCCTTAAGCAAGAACATGCACATGGCCTTCTTTGGAATTGGGTTCCGCTTCATCTTTGCTTTTCACGGGGTTTTTGAGCGGGTCTCTTTTAAGACATCCCACCAATTGTTCAGATTAACACTAGAACTCAAGCAAATCTACACTCCAACTGTACTAACATGGAAGTGGATATAGCACCCCCTGAAGGTAAAGAAAAGTACTCTTCCTTTCGGTGCCAGGCCATCTCCACGCATATAACACTTCTAACCATGTGGCAATGCACCAGTCCGTCCGGATCGGTCCCTCCACGAGGAGGTCACCGTGGAGGGCGAAAGCACGCTGGTGCCCACACTGGAGGGTGATATGGAGGCCCGTTCTCGTCTCATCGTTTGTTCCGTGGATGAGTGGCCCACTGGTCGACCAGTGGAGTGAGTAGTACTGGCATGTGATTCTTGTTCTTCAAGTTCGTGTGTTTATATCTGTGTGTTTCTGGGTGTTTTGAACTGTTGAAAGAACTTGGATGCAGCAATGCAGTTCAGTTGTTCATGAAGAAATCGTTGGTTCTTGGCGATTGGCAAAGTGGCTGTTGGTCTTTGAAGAAGCAAGTCGGCCATCAGACTGGTGTGGAGCTGTGGAGTGCGTGGTGGACAATGCATGAGTTTGTCCCAGTTCGTGAACACCAATGAACAAGCAAATCCTGGTTCAGAACCCTTAATTAACCCTGATAGTAAAAAACAGATTCCCGTTCTGTGCGCCGATGACGGGAGCTCATTTCGAAGAAACCACATGTTGTACATCGAGTGCAAGAACCTTGAAGATTCCAGCATTTGCATAATGGGGATCGCCGAATATTTTCTCATGGCAGGGAGACTATCACAGGAAGGCTAAATGAACATCATGAAGCTACATCGATGAAACCATTTCAAAGAAACATGAAACATGTAGAAAGAACACATGTACAGACAAGCATGTTACTTCACAACTGCTATAGCTGTATTTATTTGTAGTTATAATCCTTGGCCTTTCTCTTCATGCAAGCTTTTTAAGCATCCATGTCACCGAACAACGCCTCATCAGCCGAAAACGCCTCTCAGGCGGGCTTAAGTCCAGCTGAGGGCCCCTGTGGCAGGGAGCCCAAGCATCCACTGGCTGTGTGGTCTCGAAAAGGTGCCCGAAGAGATACGGTGAGTTTTTTTGGCGGGGGATTTTGGTGGTTTTCATATTTTGGGGTATAACGGCCGGTATATCTATACTCGTTTCGGCACCGCAGTAGAGAAAAGCGCTTGGTTTTCCTCTGGTAGCACCACTCCCTTGGTATTTGGAACCAAATGTCAGTTCTTACGATGACCCTCCCAGTGCGGGGACTGTGCTGCTTGGCTTGTCCCGCCATAAGAGTCCAATGGAGTCCATCATCTTCGTGAGACTCGATCTATTCCACTGGTTCTTCAATCCAAATGAGAGGGTTCTATCCAACGAGAGGGTTCTATTGGAGGCTATTGATGTATTGCTCAATCCAATTGAGAGGCATTCTATTTATCACGATCATTACTTCCCTGTTGTGTTCTCCTGGGGTTTTCTCCTCGTGGTCGCTCCCGACACCGTCACCGCGCGAGGTGAGGAGATGCTGGACGTGAACGATGCTCCTGGGCTCTGCGGAAGGGATCGTCGTTTGTCACTCGTCGTTTGCGCTTGGATTGAAGATCCGAATTCATTTTTCGGCTGCGGAAAGAGTTCACGCACATGGAATGGGACGGATCAGCAAGGTTTCGTGAACGTAGGATGTATCGATTTATGGGCTATATGGGCATGATATCTCTTAAGGGGGATGATCTTAGATTAATACATGTGCATCATGCATATACTGCTGTACACAGACCATGTCAGACCAACGTAATTCGTTTGTATACCTGCGCACCCGACTTCACAGGTGGTGTTTTTCTGCAACTTTGGTCCATCTCCATTTCAGCAAGCTGTTGATGAACAAGTGCTCCTGCAACGCCGACGCCAACAAGACTCCATTCCGCAATACCCCAACCACGGTGTGAAACACCATGTTACTGTTTGGACCGTGCTTTGCGCGTTGCATTTCAGATCTTGTCCCATGCGACTATGAACTATTGCCAACCTGACGAGCAAACAGGGTTGACACCCATGAACGCTTCTTGAAAAGCAGGTCAAGGACCTCCTTTCATTGGATCTGGTCATAGCACTTGCCTTTAACTGGACCTGTAGGGCCCCTAAGGCTCTAAGGGTTGTGTTCTCAGCCAAATGAGGGACCCATGAGGTCCTCACCCAACTGCAATCAAAATGAGAATGAGCCCAACATTTGTGTTCAACTGGACGATCCTCAGCTCCTCTCGATCGATCGGAATTCCCTCGTCCGGTAGCCCTCGGTCGTCCTCCGAGGCCGTGGCACGCTGTGCACATGCCACGATGCGCAAGGCACCGACGCCACGAAGCGCGCAGCGCCAGAAACCGAACGATGCGCACCTGTCCCAATTGGAAGAAGAACATAGAAGAACATATTTAGAACCACCCGTTTTGTACCACCCCCTTCTCCGAACTTGGGGGGAAGAAATTCACAGGGGGATCGAAAGGGCTCTGTTATATTAACACATCTATTTATATAATGAAGCATTGAAGCATTGGTACAACTGGTACAACCTTAATGGTACAACAGTTGGCATTGAAGCATTGAAGCGAACACGGGAGTGCTTGGTCACGACCTGCACCGACTCCCTGCAGCGGGAGCAGAGGGCGCTGGTTCCGTGGCTCCGCCCGGTCCGACAGCTGAGCGCCATGGCGCGGAGAGGACCTGAGGCGACCGTGCAGGAGAGGGTGGTGCAGGAGTTCTTTCCTAGCAGTAGGTCCTAGGTGGGAAAAAGGGGGACGCAAGGTGGTGGTTTGATCACGTTTGTTTGTTAATCCCTCTCAAATGATCAAACATTTAACCTGAACCGCCAGACCTCTTCATGACCAGGAGACCATGAAAGCGATCAACGCCAGCTGTCGCAGTAAGGGCGGTCACTATGCAGGCCTTTTTCAATCGGTCGAATCGGTGGAAGGTGGAGGGGCTGGAAGTTTCGCCATGGCTTCAATCAAGCAAAAACTGAGCACAGTGATGTTTGGTTTGGTACAACATGACTTGGTCGTGCCGATAAACATGGGCACCCGGACTGTTTTCAAGCAAGGGCACCCCTACTTTTTCGTGGCTGGTCTTTGTGTTTGAACTTTCCAGTCTCGGGGTGGTTGGCAGTGCTTGGGGTGCATCCTACATGACTGTTGAAAGAAACTTCACAGGACCGAAGGACCGAGAATGCCTGGAGCCGGGCGTTTCGCAGCATTGCTTCGCTTCGGTGGGGCGAAGCTCGCGAGCAGTCGCGAGTTGCGGGTAAAGAATGCAGAGGGCGCCCTGAGCAGGTTTGGAACTCACGTAGTCTTTGCGAAAAGAAAAGCTGATTGCGAAAGCGAACGCGAAAGCATTGAGCGAAAGAGTCCTTAGAGAAGTATGGTCGCGTAAGCTCTGCGAACGAGTATTTTCCTATTGCTTGAGAGCCTACGATGTTTGGTGAACAGGTTGCAAACATTTGCTTTAACCAATCCGCCGCGTCTGCGCCGCGCCAGTGTTTTTCAAACACACACCTTTTGCGCGAAAGATGAAACTGCAGTCGCGTAAGTGCTGCGTAAGCTGATGCGAAAGATTTCTGTGTTAGTAGACAGGAATCATACTGTGGTTTTGAACACCGCTCAGATTCCGAAGACAACGGCGAGCCAACGATTCCCGAAAAACGAACTGATACACTGTTTCAAGCACACCAGCACACCTGCGGGCGTTTTGGTAGGTAGAACCACCCAGAACCACCTCTAGAACCCATTTGACCATTGTTTTGATTGGAAAAGACCAGGCTTTTCCGGCAATAACTACCTGGTCGAACACTGCTTTTTGTTGCACCCGTGGTTCGGCGCAGGCTACAGCTGCAAGGTGGTCAGTTGGGACGACGTGAGCCGCGGGACTGGGCCGTCGGGCTTGTCCTGCTGGGGTGCCAACATCACGGACACCTACCTGAAGAGTAGGCGGGGGCGCTGAATACGCCGAAGGGCGAGGCGCGCTGTTTCGCGCTGCCGCCGAGGATGAGTTGGTGCACGGGGCAGCTGATTTGGATAGGCATCTCCATCCAGAACTTCTCATGGAGGGCTTTTGGTAGAATGATGCAGAAGGTTATAATATGATGAATATTTTTCTCCATTGGGAAGTTACCATCAATGCACCTGATTTAATTACTTGGGATAGCCACCTCATGCCCACATCAATTCCAATCTCCATCAACCCCTTGCTGCCCAACCCCCCCCCTCGACCCCTCGTCCGCCACCCAGCGCCTGCATGCCTCGTCTCTGCGAGAAAACCGACGCCTCCAGGAGTGGCACGCCGCTCTTCACCCTCCGCGCTGACAACTGGAACGAACGCCTCGGCATCATCGACGCCCAGCGCGTGGCGCTGGTGGCACCAGGGGCGCCGGGCTTGTCGGCGCCGGGCGAGGCGCCGACGCTGCGGCCCGTGACGTTGCAAAGGGTGCTGAAGGTGGGGATGGTGAAGGGGGATGGGGATGGGAATGCTGAAAGGTTGGAGGGGCAGTTGTGGGATTTGGACCCTCAACAGTTTTCAGGTGATCAACAGATTGAGACTTGACATATATCATATATATATATATACACAGGACTGATCAGATGTTTCATGCTCCAACCTTTTACTAGGAGCAGCTTTTGGCAGAAAAAGTACCTTCGCGTCCTCTGGCTTTAAGCTTTTCGGTGCTTGGGAGGTCAAGTTTGCAGCGAAGCCGAAGCCGAAGTCTTTGAATTCAATGCTGTGGAGAGCCCATGGGTTGTTTCCTACACCAACGCCAAGATGACATCTTTCTTCTGCCCACCCTCCCTCTCACCCTCCGTTCCCCTCACGCCAAACTCGCACGGCTTTCAACGGCTTCCACGCGTTCCCTTCACGTTCCGCCCACGGACGCGCGCATCACTCGGGTGCTTCCTGCCTCGCTGCGCGAACCTCCGCCCTCTCACCCCAAGGAGATGGGTCGCTACGGTCACTATGCGGGATTGGCCAGTGATGTGGATCTCTCGGACGCGCTCAGGGACACCAAGTGCCTCGATCGCTCGTCCGCGAAGCGTGAAGGCGAGCGGACTGGGAGGCGGAGGCAGTGGGGTCCTGGCGTTCGTCAAGGGGTTCCGAACTACCACAGGAGGCCTCCAGCACGGAAGGTGGGATGAAGCGGAGCAAAAGCAAATCAGCCAGCTGCTCCTGCGTCAGCTTGCTGGATGTAGAGGCCAGTTCGGACAAAAAGAGAAGAGGTTGGCGATCAGTGGCTGGGGTGAAGATGTTTAAGTGAAGCCTACTGTAATTAGCCAAGTAGTAGTCGCAACAATTGATGGATTTGCTAAACGTGTTCCTCATGTTTTCCTCCACCGGGCGGTGGCTCGGCTATGCTGTCAATCACCAGCAAGGTGCACTTGGTGGGTCTTTGTCCGGTTGCAAGTTAGTATGAGGCCATCGCTCTTAGGTTGGAGGCCATCGCTAGTAGGTTGGGCGCTTCCTTTGTTTGTTCAACATTCCTGGAAGGAAAGACTCACCCACCCCCAAGACTCTGGCGCAGCTCCGCATGCACCTGTGCCTGTGCCCAACGTGTCCCCTTTGCCGCGGGCTATAGGAGCTCAACGGACTCCGATTTCGGACTGGCTTCTCATGGCTTCTCGTTCGGCTCAGGTGCTCAATTCGCTTTCAGACCACCTTCCTCCCGGTGGAGGTTTGGTGGGGTGTGTGGATGTGATTCGGCGTGTGTACGTGGTCCGATGTGTGGGGCCGTTCCACCGGTTTTGAGGCGAAAAAACTGGTTGAGTGAACCAGCACGGATCTGGATGTTCTACCCGAGGAAGCAGTAATGTATGCGGATGAATCCTAGGATATCTAAGCTTAAATGAGCACTGTGAAACAAGAAGCCTATCTCCATACCCAGCTGCCAGGTGTAGGTGCAGGGTATTTAGTGCCCCTGGAAGGAATTTCTTGGTCCGGGGTCCATCTCAAAGAGGCGCCGTCCAAGCTCCCTCAGAGCTGGTTGTGGTGAACACCCACGATTTGGGTGAACATGACGATAACAAAGAGCCACCCGAGACTGGCTGACTTCAACTGGCTAACTGCTCAAATTGGAGCTGAGACATGCTGCTCTTCCTTGCTTCGTAGGTGGAAGCTGAGGTCCTGCAGGTTCCGTCCACAGCATTCCACAGCACAAAAACAGCAGGATAGCTTGGTGCAGGTGGAGCTTGTTTCTTATTGTTTCTTCATTGCTCCAAATTTTTATGCTTTTGTTTGGTTTGGGCGTTCCTCTGGGTCTATTTTCTCAAAGAGTTGCTCCAACTAGGTGAATTCCAGGCATGCTTTATGCAATTTTCTACCAAAGAATCTTTGGAATAGCCGATAGTGGTACCTCCTTCCTATAGACTTCATGGCCTCTTTTCACCAAGGTTTTTTCCTCAGCGAGTCGCTGTGCAGGTAGTATCCAGATGTCCAGATGCCCAGATGTCCAGGCTGAGCACAAAAAGCACTCCCCTAATGTGCTCCAAGTACCTCCTCAGAAGGTCTTTGGACCCTGGCACCCACCCCAGTCCCACCTCACAAGGTACGACTGGAGCCCTAGACTCCCTAGACTAGAGGAACTGGAGGCCTTTTCTTCGCTTTTGGCTCCAGGCATCCGACACGCGCCCAGCAGTGCTGGAGTTTGCCACTGAATCTTGGAGCGTTTGGACCCGGAAGTCGGGCGAAGGACGCGGAAGTTGGGGGGGGTTCCGTTGAAGCTTTGGGAGAGCTCGACTTCTTTGGAGCGTTTGGGCCGGTGTTGAAGTGAATGTTTTGGGGTCGAAGATGGTCTAGATGAAATCGTTATCCTTGGTTTGGAGGTCTAATTCTTGGCTGATTCACTTGGATCGCTGAGATCCAAAAGGTCCAAAGCAGCCATGTGAACTAGTGGCCAGAGCCTGGACTGGCAGCCTACACCGCTCTAAGCTTCCGTGCGGACTTGGCCTGTCTACTACACCGTGCTAAGCCCTCAAAACAACCTCAAACCCTCATTTCTCAGCGAAATTCATCCTCATCACGAAAGGTAGCCCTTTAGGGGATACCTTGAGTTTGTCTTGCGAAGCAAGTGTTGGGACGTCCGGGTCTAATAATTGATCGCTCAATTCAGACCCCCCCCC